ACCCTGACACTTAATTACAAAACCACAACGAGAACAGCTTCCTCCTACCTAAACGCTCTCATTCAGATCTACATTCCCTCTCTCTCACTCCGCTCAACCAACCAAAACCGCCTGATACAACCACTGCAACAGGGCCTGAGGTCGATAGCTAGACTCTTTTCCTCTGTGGTTCCGCGCCGGTGGAACGAGTTACCAAACTCTGTTCAATCTGCTGACTCCCTCTCAGTCTTTAAGAAAAGACTAAAGGCCCAGCTCCTTACTGAACACCTTTGCAATTGACAGGCCGAAAACAAACAAACAAAAGAAAACAGAACTAAATAATCCTACTGCCTCCCACACAGCCTGCTGTTGGCATCAACACCCTGTCACACTTGGATTTGTTCCATGGCACTTATCTAGATTGTTTTCTCCTGACTAGATCCTTGCTTGTGTCTGCTCTCAGATGTACGTCGCTTTGGATAAAAGCGTTTGCTTAGTGAAATTGTAGAAATTGTAGAATTGCTACAGAGGCAATGAAGTTGCAAGAAAGAGTTTAAAGTTTTCAGACTGTTGATGGAAAAAATCTTCTGTATATAAAGTATACCTCTTGACCTTATTACCTCAATTAAGAAACCTAAATAAGTCTGTAGAGCTATACAGGGGAACCACATAAACCTGATCTCTGAAAGCAAACTGGGATTATTTTCCCTATCATAGGTGATCAAGCCTGGCTGGATACAATGTGGGGTTTAGGGATGCTTGTTAAAGCAGTATTGGACTATAGTGAGTTTTTGCAAAATTCTTTTAGTTGATCCTTTGAACCAAAGCAGTTTCTGAGCGTATTAAACATTTACCAAATGCCCAGAAGTGTTACAAGTATTGGGAAAAAAATTAAGGCTCCACATACTATAGATATTTAACATCTTACATTTTTTTGCTTGTCCCCTCTCTGCTCTGTGTAAACACAGCCTGCAGTTCAGCTGAAAAGTCTTTAAATTTTTGTGACATGACTGTTGGTCACCGCTGAGTCAGTAATGGCTTCTCTGTTGTGCTGAGGAGCGCACATCATTTATTTATTTTTTGTCTGAAAACATTATTTTGGCAGAATTTTTTAATTTTGCATACAATATATTGATTTTGATGTAATATCCTGATTTTAAGCTTTGTTTAGGTTTTCTATCAAAATGGCAAGTCTCAGCTGAGTAGCTCAAAACTGTTGAGGAAAAAAATCTGACGTTTCTGTTTTTTCAGTTTCTGTTTGAGAAATGGTTTAATTTTAGCAAATCTTTTTTTTTTTTAAAGGCAGCAGGCCTTTTAAACCCCAGGTTTTGTGGTTCAGAGGGTTAACTGCTTATCCAGTTTTGCTATAAATTGTCAGAAAATAGTGAAACAGCCTCACGGTGATGCACTCAGCTGGCTTGTCTTGTTCAGCCAGCAGTCCAAAACCTCAAAATTTTCGCAATAAAATAAAACAGAGAAGAAGATTCTCAGGTTTGAGGAACTGGAACTAGAAAGTGTTTGACATTTGTTTCTGATATATCTTTAGCACAAAGAACCTGTTGTCATAAATAGCTGACTGTTGACTTTCTGCTTATCGGTTAAGCAACTCTCTGTGCTTGTTATGCAGATAACTATGTGCATCGGCTCGTGGCCAGCAAGACCGACGGGAAGATGGTGCAGTATGAATGTGAAGGAGACACCTGCCAAGCTGAGAAAATTGATGCACTCCAACTAGAAGTAAGCTTTTACTTTTGTTATTTTGTTTGCAACATCAATGTAAAAAGGTTCTAATTGAGTTCTTCCTGTGTTCAGTACTCATACTTGCTGACGAGTCAGCTGGAGTCTCAGAGGATTTACTGGGAGAACAAGATTGTTCATCTGGAGAAGGAAACGGCCGAGGAGGTACTGAAGGACTCTGAATAGGTTTAAGTGTGTCTATTAGCTGATACGAGACTCTTTGATCATAACTGTGCTTGTATAACTCCTGTCTACATGTATATCTATCAGATTAACAACATGAAGGCAAAATTTAAGGAGACGCTGGAGCGCTGTGACAACTTGGAGCAACGACTGGGAGAAATAACCAAAGAAAAGCAAAGCATGGATAAAAAGTAGGTGTGGCATTACGCATATTGTGGACTCATCAGTCCACCTGCAGTAATTTAGTGTATCACTTTTTGCTGTCTCTGAAATTATACACTTTACTGTCTTTATACTGTATTTATATATATATGTCACCTTTGGTACACTAAATTCAGCTCAAAAAGCATTCCTAAAGAAAACAACTAGAAAGTCTAAATACATGTTCAAAGAGGAGTTGAGCAATAAACAGATAAACAGATACAATCAAGCACACACTATTTCCACAAAAACCTCCCAGGTGTTTTTCTCACAAATTTATGCAAACATTTCCAGGAAACAGCCAGATAACACATCCTGGATTATTAGATGGGAAAGTGAAGCAAGTGGGGTGTAAATACTCTGTTTTAAGTTATGTAGTGCTACAATTCATCCTTTTCCCAGCAAACACTTTGACATGTCACATGTCACTCTGCTGTAATGAGTTCCGTTAATTAGGTGTGTCAGTTTGTTGATCTTAGATTTGTGCATGCTGACTCACATTATTAATGTTGTTGCTTTCCCTGCTATGACAAGTCGAACAACAAGTTAAATAAGGAAAATCTATTGTTTATTACAAGTTGGCCACAATGGTCAAGAATGCAAAATGAAAGCTTTAAATTAAGTCATTTATTTTAAGGCTCGACACTGAAGAGACTATAGGGGTTGTTTCTGAAAACAGAAACTGTTTCTGTTTCTGAAGCTGGTGACATGCAGCTCCACTGTGTTTCAGGTGTATTCAGTTGAACAGTCGAGTGGTGAAGCTGAGCCAGGAGCTGAAGGAGGAGCAGGAGATGAACCACTGTCTGAGAGCCAATCAGATGCAGCTGCAGTCACAGCTCGCAGAGGAGGAACGCAAAGGAAAGGAGAGCGGTGAGTGACAAGGGGAGAGTTAGTGATACAGCTGTCTCAAAATGGTTTCTAAATTATCCAGAAGCTGGGCGCCCTGGTAGCTCAACCGGAAAAGACAGCACCCCGTGTACAGGGGCTACAGTCCCTGATGCAGCGGCCGTGATTCGAGTCCAGCCAGCGGCTCATTTGCTGCGTGTCCTTCCCCACTCTTCTCCCCATGTTTCCCTGTCTCTCTTCACCATCCTGTGTGAATTAAGGCAAAAAAGCCTATATAAGAAAATAATTTTTTAAATCATCCAGAAGCTTTAAATAATTTTCTACAAACCATCACAGCACAGTAGTGAAACCTTCTACATCACACTAGGTGGGGTGGATGCAGTATCATGCTGGTATCACATTGTTATCACAGGGAATGATGGAGAAAGCACAACCTGGACGAAACTGGCTTCACAAGCAGATTTGATTTAAAGGGTGTTGATTTGTCAGCAGAGAAAAAATGTGGCAACGAAAACATTCTGTTCATCGGTCGGCCAGAGTCGGATGATCAGTTGGATTGTTTTAATGAGAAATACAGAAGCGCTACCAGTCCACCAAAAGATGTACAGTGATGTTAAAGAGCACTTCTTCTTTTCTCCCAAAATATTTTTGGTCGAGTACAAATACCATTTCACTGAGAACACTTTAACGATAACAGACAAGCTGTCTGTCATAAACTTTCTCCCAGAATTTACATGAATTTGTCTTCTTAGCCCTCAGAACTCCAAAACCTGCTGGCAGGTTTGAAAGACATGTTAAAAAAATCCACAGAATGACTCCATTTATCAGTCAGAATCTGTAAAAACTAAGAAAACCTAAACCTAAAATCGGTCTATTTCATCAAAATCACATTATTCTATGGGTTTGTTAAAAATTTAACCAAAGGCAACCCATCTGCATTAACCACACTCTGTAAAAAATTAAAAAAAAACAGCTAATTTATAAGATAAAAAAAATCTACACTTATCGGCACAAGCAATAGTCATCACTGACTCAGCTGTAACAAACAGTCAGGTGACTAAAATTCAAGGTTTTTCAAGCTGAACTGCAGGTTATTTTTATACAGAGCAGATAGGATGGGAACAAATTAAAAGTAAAACATGTTGGATAAATAAAATAGATGCACATATAACACACAGAAGAGTAAGTTGTTGGCAGATATATTCAGCATATGAAATATCAGTCTAGGGTTGATGTGCAGAGTCATGTGAAAAACACTGTTTGTGGAGGTTTCAAGATATCTAAAGTATGTTGGAGCCAGTTTTTCCAGTATTGCTAACACTTGTGAGCACATGATAAATGCTGGACACATTGATTCTGGTGTTTTTAGTTGTTGGAAAGTGAATATTCAAAGAAACTGAACTTTCCTTTTTTTATGATTTATAGCTGTAAATCTATGTCATACTGCACAGAGGACCTTTCTCTCTACTTATTCCAGTGGTTGTGCTGTTTCTAGGACTTTATATTAAAGTGAAAAATGAGACCACTGTGAGGAAAAATATGACTGGAGCAAAAACAATGTTCAGAAACTGTTAATCTGTAGGGTTAACCTGTAAAATCACCAGGCACTACCAACTAAAAATGAGAACTTGCCACCTGAATGTTTTGTACATTACTTTTTACAAATACGAGAAAGGACCAATAATACATTTGTTAGCATATTTTTGCATCTGCTGTGTCTGAACTTCATCAGTTGCACAGGTGTGATCCAGTCATTTTTATTTTGTGGTAAAGGAGAGCAACAGTGCAACACAAGCAGACTGAGGTGGAAAGTAGATATTTAATCAGGTTTGTTTTAGTCGATACAGAGCCAACATTTGCTCATCGTTTGCTGATTCCAAATGTATGTTCCTTTGTATAAGTCATTGCTCCACACACAAATTTCTAAGTGTAGTTAATGTCTAACTAAAGATTCCAGAGCAACAGGCCAACGCTGTGGAAGATTGGCGAACAGGAATGAATGAAATGTTCAAATGTGGTTCCACGCACGTTGAAGAAAGGTCATGCAAGCTTGAAGCGAGACAAGTACTTTTTATTATTGAAAATGCAAACAAATACTTCCTCTTTACACAGTAATATTTGCAAATCACAAACAAATTGCTGCCACGCATGAAGCCGAGGATGTAGATGGGTGTAGTTAGACTCTGCAGCTAAATGGGAGTTGCATATTAATAGACAGTAAGTGTTTTTCAGCAGGTGGACAAAGTAAAATGCAGTCTCTGTCTATAAATCCATCATGTACAAATTCTCATTAAACCAAAAAAAAATAAATCATGTTTAATGCAGTAAAAGTTCCAAACTTTCCCAAGTAACTGCACCTTTTTATTATGGAAACACTGAGTTCACCGTTTGCCCTGTGTACAGAGTGACATTCAGCATAGGAAGGATTTCATCACTGCTTTACCTGAGGGCAACGTAAATGTCAGGTTAGAGGTTTGAATGGAAATTTTAGGACCACAGCTTAGACATACCTGTATTTTCACTTCCGCATTTAGCTCCGAGGATGAGGAATGTTCAAACAAATGTCCCACAGTCCTCTTTGTTTATGTGAAAGGAACACACACTTTGTGCCATTTCACTTGTTTTGATGAGTTTCAAACACAGTCTTCACGTTACATTTGCTATCCTGCTGGAGTCAAAAGGAATCCACATACAACAACCGCAGTTTTCCTGTTGATGTGTAGTAACATGACTGTAGTCAGAGTTTCGTAAGAGGATGTTAGGTGACACTCATACATTAGACTCTTGCTAGCTCCCTCATTACGTGACTCAGGCTAAACGAACACTTGTAAATGTATTCATGATGTTTCTGGTGTGTTGCACTGTAAACATAATATATATAATATAACCCATATATCTAAGATAAGCTACAGTTTACTAACAGCATCTGGACTGCAGTGACATGAATGGAAGTTGACATGACTGGTACAGGGCTATGGCTTGCTTTAGGAGCCTCCGTTTTTTTGTGCTATGATGCATTTCCCTCCAAGATCTGAAAATGTATACCACTTGTTGTCTCATCTTGAGTGTTGCTGATTAGCACAATGCACAATAAATAAGAACACAGCCTTCTTAAGCTGAATCACACACATATTACTTTGTTTTACTGCCTAGTTATACCAAGTGGCCCTCTGTAACTGGTACACTAGCTCATCTAGATCTATATATTATGTTTAGCTCTCTGTATTTAGGTTTCCACACTCTTTGAGCAGCTTTTCTAATGTTTGTGGGTTGAAATGTTTATCGGGAAGCTGACACAGCTGTGAGGCGACGTTGACCTTCAGGGCCAGCAGTGAGGGTTGTGTATATTACATACATATAAGTTTAAACGTGTGTCAGGTGAAGGATTTGTGCTAATATATTATGTTTACAACTTTACTGAACTCTACACTTATCAGTAGCTGAATAATTCTTCTTTACAATACTCTAAAGTGTCTATAATTAATGTTTTTATCATGACAATGTGTCAAATGAAATTGTTAAAACTGTCGCAATGTGAGATGTGTTGCAGTTGAACATGCAGCTCTCAGGTTTACAGAGCCTCACAGTGAGCTATTGTTAGTTCCCTGTGCAGCCCACAATTTTCCTGAGAAAATGAAAAATGACCCGCTAAGCAATGAACGACACACAGACGCTGTTAGCTGGTGAACAAAGTGGTGTATTTAGCAGCCTAAGAGAAAGATATACGTTTTGCACAAACTCCACTCCAAATGAATCACCATGCTGCTCTGGTACTGGTGGGTTAATAAGAAATGTCTAATCACATTTAATTATACGACTGGCATTTAAAACATCTGTGTGTTTCCATTACAAGAAGTAAACAGCACATTTTGCTTTTGGCTCTCTCACAGCTCATAGTTCATGGGTAATAAACAGTAGTGTTGTTCATATAAAAAAAAAAAAGCAGAGTGTTGGACAGAGAGCAGTGATGGGAACTTTTCTGATTAAATGCTCACCTTCAGAAGAGCTAAATGAGAGGAAATGCTGGACTCACATCTGACTTTAGATGAATGATTATGTGGCACTGTAAATGCCGGATGTGTTAATAAGTAACTGTTTGCTCACATATCAACTTAAGAGGTGGTAATATGTGATGCTGTGTTCAGAGCTGCTGCTCCTACAGGCCAGTTTGTTCTTACTGTTTGTACATGCTTTAGATCTACACTGCTCAAACACAAGAAATTCTCCAGAAATCCTGGTTCCACCCTCTGTTCTCTGCACACCTCACGAATAATGACATTGACAAGGTCTTATATCAATAAAAGGCAGAGGAAAGCCTGATTACTCTTTGCTGGGGATCACAAGGATTGGACTGTTGATGATTGGGCTAAGGTTCTCTTCAGTGATGAATCCAATTTTCAGTTGATGCTCACTCCAGCCAACTTACAGGTTAGAAGGAAGCCTTGAGAAGCCTACAAACCAGACTGTCTTGCCCCTACAGTAAAACATGGGGGTAGATCAGTGACCATCTGGGGTTGTTTCAGTATGGCTGGAACAGGGCAAATGCAATTGTGTGAAGGGCGAATGAACCAGATCATGTACGGGGCTACTCTTGAAAACAGTCTTCTTCCATCAGCTGGAAAAGTCTTTCCTGCCTCAAATGACTGGATTTTGCAGATTTTGGGTATCAAGAAAAACATACAAAATGGCTGGACATCAGCTCTTAAATTAAACTCTCATGAGCTATTTTTGTTGTTATCATTGTATTTGTCCAAACACATATACCTTTACTTGTACCAAGCATTAAAATGAAAAAGAAATTGAAGAAAACAAGGGCGACTAATTTTTTTTTCCATGACTGTAGGATGCAGAAACTATGAATTGCCTTCGATCTGAAAAATAAATTGTTATATCCTCTTTAACTTGTAGTAAACTGACTGTGCTTTTTCTTCTGCAATGTATTGAACATCTGTTTTATTGTCTGGTGTTTTTTCTGTAGGAGATCGTAAAGACGTGGCGATAACAGAGCTGCAGGAGCAGCTCAGAGACGTGATGTTTTACTTGGAGACCCAGCAGCAGATCGAACACCTGCCTCCCGAGGCTCGCAGTGAAATCCAGGAGGGACAGATCAACATCCCGGCTGGCCCGTCAGACGGTGCCCTGGGCTCGGCCGGGGCGGGCCCATCCTCCAGCAGGGGCAGGAGAGGCCGGGGCAGGAAGAGGAAGTAGGGCAGAAACTGTACAGCAGCCTCTCGGTGTGGACACGTTTCCGGCTGTACTTTTGTTAACGTGTCTGCATCGTTGTGGCTCCACAGAAAGCACTCAGAGAGGACGACTTCATGAAGAAAGAGTAAATAGTGATGATATTTACCTGCACAATTTCCCACTTATGTAGCTTCTGCAAGAAGAAGAGTGGAGCATGTGGGAGGATCGCTCAGTCAAGACATCAGTGATGTGATGTACATAACGTCTGCTGTTTTCAAATCCTAAGAGTATCTATTTTGGTCATAAGTAGTATTTATTTGATCAAAACTATGTTTCTTTGTGCCCAGTTTAGTACCATGTGTTCTTATCAAAGTCTGTCTGGCTTTTTTATATTTCTTTAAAATATAAAGGTGACAGCTGAGCAAAGAGAACCTCTAGATGAATGTTTGTTTTGTGCAAAGGAAAATAATGACCACATTTTGTCATTGTTAGACTTTTTTTTTTTTTTGTTCTGGACTAAGATTGAACAGTAGTTTATAAAGACAGACAGAAGAGAGAGAGATTCTGACCTGCTGCTGTGTCTTTTCTCAGCAGTTCATTGGTGTTGAAAAGTCCAGTGACAGCAGTCAGTGCATGTCCAGCTTTGTGTGAAGAGCACGAGGCCTGTTTTCACTGTGTAGGTCAGTGATTCCCAACCACAAGTGTGAGCACTGCAAGACCAGGAAGAAACAGAGGAGCTTAGGTAAAGTGAAAAATATACTATATCATTGTTATTTCTCATAGTATCCAGTAAACCCTGGGCTCTTACTGGCTGATTGCAAAGGAAGCACCTCCAACCAACCCCAGTACTGTACTTGTACAATTTTGAGATACTTGTACTTCTTTTTTTTTTTCTTCTACTCCATCACATTTCCAGTAGAAATATTGTACATGTCACTGCACAACAATAGTTTATTTTTACAGGTCTAATACTTCCCAGCTAATTTCATGGAAACTTTCTCAATAAATCAAAAACTTGCTGTATATTTCCAAGAAAGTCATGTGCACGTTGGTATTAATTAGAAACCTCACCTCACCTACCTTTATGGACTATAATGACTGGCTACTTAGGGTTTTTCTTGCAAAGAGCAATTGTTGGAGCTTTGCAAAGAGATTTTAGCCAGTGCCAAAATGATAAGAATTGTTTGTTTTGTCCAGTTTAATTAATTGGAGCTGCTTTACCCAAGCATAATGCACTTTTTTTTGTAATCAGATGTTCAGAAATACAGAAAGTTTGATAGATTTCTGTCACATAAGGTGACACAGACCTGTACTGATTGTGCTTGCTGCTGTGCATTGTTGCCTCTCAAAGGTGCATTCTGAGCAGAAAAACCCTGAATGCTGTACAAACACTGAGATCTTTCCCCTTATGTTTACTACAAAACCATTCCAAGCTGAACACCAGTTTTTACTGGGAAAATTTCCATGAAATAGTTGGGGGAAAAAAACCTGTGAAACTGAGAGTTACACACTCCACCACTTTTTTTTGGCAGCTGTAGTTTCTTTACATACGAAACATATCTTCATCTTCTCAAATATGATGGACTGCTGTAGCAGTTACCTAATTAATTGGTTAGTGGACTGAGAAAGGTTAAGCCTTTAGATTTCAAAACGCAAATACTATTGTTTAAGCTTCACCGAATGCATCTGGCTGCAGTAGTTTTAATTTACCTGCAGTTATATGTAATGAATGACATGCGCATTGGGAGCAGGCCTTTAGGTTTTAAGAACTTAAGATAAGCACTTCTCCCTGTGCAGCGTGGGCTCTCACCATGTTTGCCGGCTTCCGCCTGCAGTCCAAAAAAAATGCTGACATCAATTGGTGATTCTAAATTGTCCATAGGTGTGAATGTGAGTGTGCTTGGTTGTTTGTCGGTTGTTTGATGGACGGGCGACCTGTCCAGGGTGTCCCCTGTCTTCACCTTGAGTCAGCTTAAATAGACTCCTGTTCCCCTATGACCCTACAGAGAATAAAGTGGTGTATGTATAGATAATAAACGAATGGATGAAAAGCAGCTTTAATATGCCAAAGTATTAGCAAGCCCTCTGAACCTCCAACACTCCTGCTCCTGTGGGATCATTTTTCATGACACTATAAAGTCCTGCACCTTAATGGAAACAGCACAACCATGGCTAGAAGGAGAGAGATGAGGAACTCCAAAATGTGTATTGTTGATTATAAAAAACTGTTGTGCCGCTAATCACAAACAAGAAATGTTACGTTTCTTTGATTACTAATTTTACAATCATGATAAATCAGGAATCAACATATTCAACATTTTTAAGGCTCCACTGGTGCTGCCAACACTGGAACACCTCGATACACTCAGCATTTGTCACACAACTTTGCACATCAACTCCAGAAAGATGTTTCACCGTGCTTTATGTATCTTACAACAGCTTGCTCCTCTGTATACCTTTTTTGAGCCATGCTTCCTTTATTTTCCTTCTTTAAAAAAACAAAAAAAGATGACATGCCTTACAAACCTTGGAGGGTTAATCCAAGGAAAATCTACAGCTGAAACAGTTAAAAAACAACCATTAGTTGCAGTGTGATTATTGTGATTAACTCCACTTAACCAGCTGTGACATTAAAATGCTTCCTACATGCTAACATGTTAATTAAAATATACTATGATGACCTGGAGGGTGCCATTATGTCGTGCTAAAGTCCTTTTTTGTTCTCTCTGTTGTCACATTTGAGTAACATTTGCATACTTCTATCATCACTATTAGCGAGTCAGCTGAACGGTTGGGAACCACTGATCTGTCTTTTCTGACATGTGATGTTTAAGATGTGACTCTGTCCTGCTTACAAAGCTCTGATCAGAGCATATTCTGAAAACATTAGCGGGCTCTGTTTTCTTTAAGTTACGACCCTGAATAAGGTGTCTAAATAAAGCAAGAAATGAGGCGATAAAGTGGTTTATTTTTGTTAGATTCAGTGCTTCTTTTAAACAGTGTAGAATGTTCATGTTCAAGCTTTAGATTGATCCAAAAGGCCTTAATTAGGAACAGTGATGTAGAAAGCACACACTTGTGTTTTTCCTCATATATGTATACTTGTATTAACAGCATGAGATCATTTATACTCAAGTGGACAGAGATCATTTCTAATTAATAAATGATTTTCCCCCCAACATGAGAGCCTGTAAGGGAATAGTTCAGCATGAATAATACCACGCAAATATCTGGTAAATGCAAAATACGAGGTGCGATCAAAGAGTTCAGAGTCTCATGTGAATTTGAATTTGACTGCCATCCTTAACAAAGTTGAACAGTGATACTCTGCTCCCAGTGCTCCTGCAGCACTATTAACACTCCGGGGAAGTGCCATTATCTTAACATGGTCAGCACTATCTACAGTGAGAAGTGAATCTCCTAAATTGAGTCAAAACAGTGACCCTCTAACTTCAGTTTTCTTTTGGGAAAGAGGAAGAAGTCACAGGGAGACCACAAAGACCAATGGTTCATTTAGGAAGTAACTATTGTGAAATGTGTTGGTAGAACCCCTGATGTAATCACTCCTTCCAGTCTCTCCGGACATTACAGTAGAACTGTGGCTTTACAGTCCAGTGTACAAACATGTAAATGTTGAAGAAACCAACATTTGAGTGGATGTTCCTTCTTCTGACTTGAAAACTGCAATTTTTCCACTGTGAAAGCTTCTCTTTTTTTTAACTTGGTGTAGCCCCAGACCCTCTCTCTTGACCTGTGATGATCTACTACTGGCTCTAGCTTCATATTTACTATACAGACAGAAGGTTATTCATCTTCTCTGCTCACCCTCAGCAAGAAATTCATTCCCTAAGTTAATTCATGCAGATGGAAAACAGAGCTGGAGTTTATATATGTTTTCAGAGAGAAAGAACTGATTTGTGTTGGGTTTTTTGGGGTTTTTTTCTTGGTTTTTGTTATTTTTTAGCCTTGTCTGAGTTGTTAAACCAACTAAACAGGATGAGACTTTTGATAAACATCTTAACTTGTCAGCTTAGTTTCAGTTCAAGACAACTTTTCTCTGAATGCATCTTTTACCATAAAAAAAAAAACACATTTTCATTTTGTGGTTGTTGCCTCTGAAGTTGTGCACCGATGTTCAATAAAATGTTCTCAAAAGTTGCACTGAATCACTAATGGCTTCTCACTGCTTTGAGATAAGGCGGTGAAGTGAAACACATGCGTGTCAGATGGGAAGCAACACGAACACACGTGCTAAAAATAAACTTTGTCACTCATCTGCAGACGTAAAATCTGTAGCAGCAAACTGCAACATCTGCCCCGAGAAAAATGCTGTCGTGTATGACTAATCCCCCTCACGTCTTACTACAACATTAACAGTTTACTCACACCAGCTTGTAGAAAGTAAACTGTGTACAGAGCCTGGATGTAGCTGCGCACAGAAATACAGACTTCCTGAGATGGTAACTCCATCTTCACAGTAATTCTGAAAGTCTCTTTGTGAAGCATTCACCACTATCGCCTACCAACAGTCAGGTTTTATGAATGTGCCATCTACCTACTCACACAGTATGTTGGCAAGCTGGTTACACATCAGTTAAGTTTAGTGTTTGTGCAGCGCAGCATGTTGCAAAATGTATTTTTACACCTGTAGTCGTAGGCAAATGTTTCCGTATGCAAATAATCACCACATCTCCTGTTCTGTTTTTATCCAGGCCTACTGCCCCTGTATAACTACAGGCCTGCAACTACAAAACTGGCTTCTGAAGTTAGTGATTAATCTTTCGTTGACAAAATGCTGAACAGAGAAACTGTGACGGGCCAAAATGGTCCCCACAAATATTGAAGTTACTACCGTGTGAGCAGAAAAAATACATTTGAGGAGCGACAACCACAGAAAGTAAATTAAAAAAAAAAAAAAAAAGTTGACTGACTGATCTTCACTAAGTTTGTCACCGTAGTTTCACTGAACCATACAGCTGCTGGAGGGTCTATTTCAGCACCCGTGCAACTTTGTAAAAAGGCTTCATTTCATATAGCAGTAAGTGTAAGTAACACCCTTTGATATGTAGTAGAGCTGATTGTTTTCTGAAATAATTAGTTGTTCGGTCTTCACAATGTTGGTAAAATTTTGATCAGTGTTTCCTAAAGCCCAAGAAGACAAAGGTCTTTTGTCCACAACCCAGAGATTTTCAGGTTTCCATCATAGAGGACGAAACTAACCAGAAAACATTAACACTTAGGAGGCCACAGTCTCTGAATCTAGAATTTCTTGTCTTAAAGATGGCTTCACTTCACATATATGTCTCTGGAAGCAAGCCCACTTTCCACACAGTTCCTTTACGTTCGGTATGTGAGACATTTTCACATTTCCTTTGCAGCTCAATAGTGATGCTTGAGACACAACCACAACGAAAGCAAAACTGAACAAAAACATTCAATCAACACATTACAAGTGAAATTCCTTAAAGTTGGATCTGAGATAACGACAATATTCTTCTTTGCTAATGTCACTTCCACCTGTTAACCATGTGAAACCCAGCCTGTCTGTAGGTCTGAAAGACATGTTATCTTTTAAAAAATTGCCTAAACAACATGATTCAGCAGAACTAGAAACTGTAAAACCAGAAAGAATCATCAGATGTTCAACTTTCCGATGGTTCTTGAACTAATCACATATGGCACGCCGTTGCTTCAGGAAACTTAACCAATGCTAAGTTTAAATTCTTGAAACTTCATCAAAAAAACTTGCCAAAAGTAGACCTTTTGCAGTAACCAGATTATGTAAAAAACAGGAAATTCTACACTCCTTGCCACATCTGAGAAGCCCTTAGTAAGTCAGCTGTCACGAGCAGTTATGCAACAAAAATTCAGGTACTTTGCGACTGAACTGCAGGTTGTGTTTGCAAAGAACAGAAAGGAGACAAGTGTGGAAACAAATTAAAAATGTAACTCGTAAAATATCTATAACATGTAGTCACCATTTTTTCCTGTATTAGTAACACTTGTGAGCTCTTGAAAAAAACTATAAATGTGAATTCCTTTTTTTTCGTTTTGTTTTTGTAAAATAAGATTCCAAGAAATTCAATATATTATTCAAAGAAATTCAGTGGGACACAAGCGAAAACATCCAGATACTGCTTGGAGTGCAGAGGGTTAACATGACAGGAAAAAAAGGTGAGAAAGAAAGCACTGTGCTTAAGTGAAAGCTGATGGCTGTTGAATGAAGCCAGTTTGGTGTAATATTTCCAACCTCTTGAGAGAGAAAAAAATGATTCAGAGAATAAAAGAGGAAGAAAGGAAGAAAGAGGAGGAGCCAGCAGATGGTTGAGAGCAGGGTTTAGAGGTACGACAGGCACATAGGAGGGCTCTTCCTGAGTCGAGCTGTAGGCTGTGTGGAGGTTTTTCTCTGCCTTCTGTACTCTAACAAACTATGGACTAGCCTTTATTTCTCTTTTTACAGTTTGGAGCCGCATTATAAGGTAAAAAGAAACCTTTTTTTTTTTCATTCCTCTTCTTCATTGCAACATTTTTTCTCTCTTCTTTGCTTGCACACCTTTGCAGACTGAAGTTTGGTTAGTCTATTAACTGTTTTCAATGCAAAAACACACATTATCATAAAAGCTACTAGCACTCAACCTGTGCATTTGTGTACATGCTATCTCAGCTTTAGGTAATTGCGTGTTTTTGCAGGCAAAACTCACACAGCAGGCAACACAGAAAGTCTAATATTTTGACACAGGTAACTTTTTGTGCTGAAAAGCTTTGAAATCTCTGGTATGCAGTCTGGCCTTTCAGGTCTCTGCATGTGAAAAGACAAGAGAGGGGCAGATAGAGCAATGATATTGTCTTTCCTCTGGGCTTTGCTGAAATTCTTTTGTGCTGATGTCAAAAGAGTCTTGGATGCCTGACGTCGATCACTTTAGCAGAAACATTTCTGCTTCTGTGCCAATAATATCAGACTACTGATTACAGTCAGTGTGACTGTGGAACAAAAACTCAACTTCCCAAACGTCAAATGTATTTTATGATTGTGTGACTTCTAGCTGTTGACTTGACCTCCTCTGGGTGTAACTGATAGTTCCCCCCCTTCCTGTGAGGCTAAAAAAAATACAGAACTCATGCTATGTTATGTTAAACACCAAGATAACAGCGTCTTATAGCCCTGCAGACAGATTGCACCCTAAAGTGACGATTTTTGCAGGTTCAGATGAGGAATGTGAATTATTTGTGGGTTGTCTGCTTTGAATCATCAAAAACAAAGGCATTTTTGCTGCCACAACCTGCTTTAAAATGTCACGTACAGAAGCTTAGAACCCTATTTTAGGTGCATAATACATGTAAAACCTGTCACGCAGCTTAGATGTTTGCATTTTTATCCTGCAGGCCAGAAAGTTCCTGAATGGATTGCACTTCCTTCTTTGTGTGGGAGCATTTGCAAGCTGATTAAAAAAAACTAACAAAAAAAAAAACATGTTTGAAGACAAAAAAAAGATCATATAAAAGTACATATAAACAACTGAAAAAGCTGCGCAATGTGAAATCAGATAAAGGCATCGATTACTTCACCTGATGAACAGATAAATGCAGCCGTATAGACACTATCAAAAGATATCTAGTGGTTGTCTGTTTTGAAACTGGCTTCATCTGTGGTTATTTATCGATTCTGCCATTTTCACACGAGGAAATAAGTGAGGGCAGCACTGTAGTTATGACTACTTCACAAACTCACTGTCAGACATCCTGCCATCATCAGTAATCATTTTGAGACATTTTCTGCAGCTATGACCAGTAACTGATGTCAGTTTACTGTAATTTAGTTTGTACTATCAGTGTGTGGTTACAGATACCAGCCTTGTTGAGCAACACGCTTACGTTGGGTAATGGATGGGAGGGCTGACTAACTGTTTTTCAGAGCCAAACTCTACTTCTTAGTAATAAAGGTCTCATAGTGTGCCCTTTTTCACCAAATGAATGCAGGTGTCACAGATCCCCACACTCTGTCTTTCAGTTGTTCAGCTCAAAACATTGCAAAGCTGTTTCATTTCACCAAGACAGTACAACCTCTGGTTTTAGGGCTGTTTTGCTCTGAAAACCAATGAGCTCCTGCCCCCTTCAGGAACAACACACTGTCTGTGTCTGACAGCTTGAGCTGGACGACTATTGGCTCTTTAGATGTGAGGCAGCCCATGGGGCAAATACTTATGAAGCTTATAAAGCTGAGAGTCTTCTGCCTCGCTGTGGGGGGGCTTTAGGAATGGCAGAAGTAAAGGTCTTCATTTCTTACCAGCTTTTACGTTACACCTCCGAGTTTGTAACAACCACAAAACACAATAAACTATTAAATATCTGTATAAAAAACATACATATATGATTGATTTATAACAATATTTCGGAGAGTCATTTAACATTTTAGGATGGATGCTTTCTTTACAAGACTTATATCAAAAGATCAGTAACAGTCATTTCTGTACGCTACATGTGAAGCTAGATTCAGAAGACTAAAACAGAGAGTAAAACAAGTACAAAAGCATGCAAAACAACTAGAACAGCACACAAAACGACTACAACGACATTCAAAACATTTCTACAATCCTACAATTTCATTCAGCAGACGCTTTTATCCAAAGCGACGCACATCTGAGAGCAGATACAACACAAGGAAGGATCTAGTCAGGAGAAAACAATCTAGATAAGTGCCATGGAACAAATCCAAGTGTGATAGGGTGTTGATGCCAACAGCAGGCTGTGTGGGAGGCAGTAGGATTATTTAGTTCTGTTGTTTTTGCTCGTTTGTTTGTTTTCGGGCTATCAATTGAAAAGGTGTTCAGTAAAGAGCTGGGCCTTTAGTCTTTTCTTAAAGACTGAGAGGGAGTCAGCAGATTGAACAGAGTTTGATAACTCGTTCCACCAGCGCGGAACCACAGAGGAAAAGAGTCTAGCTATCGACCTCAGGCCCTGTTGCAGTGGTTGTATCAGGCGGTTTTGGTTGGTTGAGAGTGTAGATCTCAATGAGAGAGTTCAGGTAGGAGGGAGCTGTTCTCGTTGTGGTTTTGTTTGCAAGTGTCTGGGTTCTGAATTTGATGTGGGCAGCAACTGGAAGACAGTGAAGCGATCTGAACAGCGTGGTGACATGTGCTGTTTTTGACTGGTTGAAAACCAGACGTGCTCCTGCATTCTGGATCACCTGCAGAGGTTTGACTGTGAATGCGGGGAGACCTGCCAGTAAGGAGTTGCAGTAGTCAATGCATGATATTATTAGAGCTTGTGCTGCATGTTCAGACAGGAAAGGTCTGATCTTCCTGATGTTGTACAGGGTGAATCGACACGACCGAGCAACAGAGGCCACATGAACGTTGGAGGTTAGTTGGTCATCAATCATGACACCCAAGTTTCTGGCAGATTTTGTGGGTTTGAGTTGGGTTGAATCAAGCTGGATGATGATTTCTTGATGTAGAGAGGGACTGGCTGGGATGACAAGGAACTCAGTCTTGGAGAGGTTGAGTTGAAGGTGGCGTTTTTTCATCCATGCCGAGATGTCTGCAAGGCATGATGAGATCTGGCCAGAGACTGTGTGGTCGTTCGGGGGGAGAGACAGGAAGAGCTGGGTATCATCAGCATAGCAATGGCATGATAAACCATGGGCCTGGATTATTGCATCGAGTGAGGTTGTGTAAATTGAGAAGAGAAGGGGACCAAGCACTGACCCTTGAGGAACCCCTGTGGATAGGTTGTGGTGTTCAGACACTTCTCCCCTCCAGGATACTCTGAAATATCTTCCTGAGAGGTAGGACACAAACCAAAGGAGGGCAGATCCTGAGATGCCAAGCTCAGTGAGTGTGGAGAGGAGGATGTGGTGGTTAACCGTGTCAAAGGCAGCTGACAGATCTAGCAGCAACAGAGCTGAAGACTGTCCCGCAGCTCCAGCAGAATGCAGGGATTCTGTTACAGATAGGATTACAGTCTCGGTAGAGTGACCCTGTTTAAAACCAGACTGATAGGGTCATACAGATTGTCACAGAGGAAAGTAGAGACTTGGTTGAAGCCAGTTCGCTCAAGTATTTTAGACAGGAAGGGCAGTAGTGAAACCGGTTGTTGAAAATGATTACAAAAACATGCGCAAAGATACTGACATACTAAACAACAAGCAATATCTTTCACACACAGTTGTGCTGTCAGTTGTTTACATTAAAACGCTGATTGTAGATACTTTAAAACCTTCTTGTCTGCAGATGAGCGACCAGGACAGCAGCACCTCTGCCTCCCAGACGGAGGGAGAGTTTGATGAAGACCTGGAGGGCAAAGAGGAGAAACCGAGGAGCAGCCCGGTCCCCAGTCTGTCCAGCTTCTCCTCCTCTCTGCGGGCAGTCATACGCATAAAACTCAAGTATCAGGCCATGAAGAAGCGACGGCAAGAGATGGCCCTGGCCCTGGGAGGAGCCGGGGCCCTCACTGGAGCCCCATCACGCACCAGCCCCAAAATCTTCACCTTCGATGGACTCACCCCCAACTCACTCCCCACCTCTGTCCCTTCGAGGAAGAAGAGAAGGAGGAAGAAGCGGGTGTTGTTTCCCAGCAGAGGGCGTCCCAGGGCCCCACCGAGGCAGGAGCACAGCCGAGCCCAGTACTGCCTTTACTTGCTCTTTGGAATCGTCTTTGTCCAGGTACATTGATCACAACACCTATTGACACCAAGCTGCTTCTTCAAGTGGTGGTTCACTACAAATGTAGGCATTCTCCCAGGTAGATTTTGCTCATATGATGTTTTAAAATACTTGTGGGAAGACGAAGCACTGGGCCAAGGGCCTAACATATCTGTGGCAGCCTGAGCCAGAGCTTCTGTGTGAAGCGACTGTTAACATTTCATGTTGGACGTCAATCTAACAATTTCAAAGAGAAACTAAATGATGCAAACCAGATGCAAATTTACAACAAAAAGACTACAGATGTAGCCAAAACAAACACAAAGAGACAGAAAATGTCATCAAGAAATGCAAAATGACCACAAAGTGATAAAAAGACTACAAAATGACACAACATGACATCACGGCACTATTATTTATATCGCACATTTAAAACCACAACTGTTTCACCAAAGTGCCTCCTGGCATAAAGGAAAATAACTGATGTTACAAATGAACTGAGTCCTCTAGTCAAGACCCTGTAGTGTAATTTATGATGTGAAAGGAACACAAAGGACTACAAAGAAACACAAAACAACCACAGAGAGAGACAAAATGTTGCTTATCGACAGCAAAGACACAAAAGACAGAAAAATGATGCAAAATGACCATAAGGACTTAAACAAGACGACAGAGAGACACAAACGACTGCAAAGCAACCGATAACTTTATCCTCCTTTAAAACTCTTTTAAAAACACATTTATACAGATGTGCTTTTACAGGAGTTGTTTTATGAGTGGACTTTTACTCCGTTTGATGGCAGCATCAAGGGCAGTACATTTTATCTTCTAACTGTTTTATTCCTTCCTTTATTGTCTTTTAATTGTCTTCTTTTACTGGGTTTTATTATTCTTATATATTTTTATATTGTTTCATTGTCTTTCATGCTTTATGTGTTTCACCTTCACCATTTTTTATTTATGTATTTTTTGCTTTTTACTTCTTTTAATGTTGTTTAATGTTGTTTTCCATATGCTTCTCTTTGAATCTGTACAGCACTTTGTAACCCTGTTTTGAAAAGTGCTATATGAATAAAGTTTATTATTATTATTATAATTATCACAAAGACAGAAAGCAGCTAACAACATGATGACAAAGTGATGCAAAACGACCGCAGAAAGAAACAAAAGACTGCAACAAGACTGAAAATAACAAAACTAAACACTTTGTGCTTCGTGGTAACAGGAAAATGTTAGCATGCTGCGATGCTAAACCAAGACAAGTAAACATTACTTTCTAACTACAAGAGTGTTAGCATGCTAATGTTGGCATTTAGCTCAAAGAACCAACATGGCCGTCTTGTAAATATATACCCAGACCGCTCTGCATGGCTGCATTCTAAGTGAACGATAAATCTGATTATTGATTATCTTCGTATTTAAGTTCAGTATCATCGCTCTTCTCTGTTAGCCTGCCTCCTCTGTCTCCAGCTCCACTGTTGATAGTGAGAGTGAGGAATTATGTAGGATTAGCATCAGCTCCTGTGTTTGTACCTGAGGTTTAAATATAGACTCAACTTTTCTTGTTTGGACATGTCAGTATTTATTCAGCCTAGAATCAGTATGTTGTTATTCAGGCCTAGGGTGGGTCCTGCATCTATTAATAATCTTGAAGCAGAGTCCTGTAGCAGCATGTCCAAACTGGAAAATTAAGAAACCAGAAAGCACTTAATTGAGTTTACTGTCAATGTGCAGTTGGTCAGTAAATACCAATTAAAAATATGGAAAAATAATAACTAAAATATTTCTGATGGAATTTTTAGTATGCAATTATGCTGTTAGCTTGTGGTTTGTTTGAAGTCTAGTTAGCGTCTGATAGTTCATGTGAGCTCCTGTTAGCTATGTTAGCTAAATAAAGCTCCCTTTAGTCTAGTTAGTGCCGGTTGGCTCTGGTTAGCACCTGATAGTGCATTTTAGCTCTACATGACGCTTTTTTTAGCTCCTGCTAGGTCTAAATAACTTATTTTACTTTCAATTAATAAAAAAATAAATATACGTTCGGCTCTTGTTTATGTATATACAATGTAATTATATTACTACCATTTGGGTTATTGCACATTATCAAGAAGTCCAAAAGTCAAAGGTAAACCTATTCACTCAGAGTGAAGAGTTGTACAAGCTGATGGCCACAGGCAGGAATGACTTCCTGTGGCGCTCTGTGGTCCATTTTGGTGAAATCGGTCTTGTATTGAAAGTACTCCTGTAGCTGACCAGCACGTCGTGGAGTGGGTGTGACACATTGACAGATTCCGTCAGAGAGTCCAGCTTCACTCCCACAAAGTCACTGGCCTTGTGAATCAGTCTATTCAGTCTGTTGGTGTCAGCTACCCTCAGCCTGCTGCCCCAGCACACCACAGCGTACAGGATGTTAAAGGACCTCAGCTGCCTCAGAAAATAGAGGCGACTCTGGCCTTTCCTGTAGAGTGCGTCAGTGTTCTTTGCCCAGTCCAGTTTATTATCAATGTGGACCCCCAGATCTTGTAATAAGAAAACAATTTCTTCTAACAAACTCTGAACATACTGCTCATCTTACTGCTCATATCCAGTCAGTATGGAGTATGAAAACGCTTTTAAACTTTATGGTTTTTTTGCAGGTGTACAACGCCATAGAGAACCTGGACGACCATGTTCTCCGATACGACCTGGAGGGGCTGGAGAAAACGCTAAGGCGGGAGGTGTTTGGGCAGCAGGGGGCGGTGGAGGATCTTCTGTGTCACCTGAAGGACTACCTGTCCACTTACGTCCACAACAAGCCCCTGGTGGTGTCCTTGCATGGCCCCAGCGGCGTAGGCAAGAGCCACCTGGGGCGCCTGCTGGCTGGACACTTCCGCTCGGTGGTAGGCGAGCCACTGGTGCTGCAGTACTACGTCCTCCATCACTGCCCACAGGAGGCCGACGCCCTGCAGTGTGGCCGTGACCTCTCCACCCTCATCTCTGCAATGGTGGAGCGAGCCGAGGAGGAGGAGAAGATCCCGCTCTTGATCTTCGACGAGGCTGAGCACATGCACAACGAGATCCTGGACGCGCTGTGGCAGCTCGTCACCTCGAAGCGGTCCAACGAGCACCTGAATGCCATCTACCTGTTCCTGAGCAATCTGGGACACGCACACATCACCAAACACATGCTGCACAACTCCTCAAGTATCTCTATGGCAATGACAGCATCCGGTCGCCATAGCAACCTAATAAAAGAGCTGACTCCGATTTTACGCAGCACTCTGAAGAAGCTTCACCCGCTATGGGCAGAGGTAGACATCTTACCCCTGGGCCTTCTGGAGAAAGGTCACGTGATGGAGTGCTTCCTGGACGAGATGACCCGGGAGGGGTTCTACCCGGATCATACCAACATCGAGCGCCTCGCGGGTGAGATAGAGTATTACCCTGCAGTAGGGGGGCATGAATATTCCCAAACAGGCTGCAAGCAGGTGGTGGCGAAGGTGAACCTGCTCTGAATTGTTTCGGATGCTTTTTTTTTTACCATGAAGAAGACATGCATGAGAAGGGATGAAGGTGACGAAACTTGAATGACACAACTCGGAGCCGAAGCTTTTATAAGAGGGGAATAAAAGAAGTAGTTTATTCACAGAAAAATGACAGTGAGGACGTTGTAAGAAACCTGTGAAGAAGTTGGAAAATGCCACTAACACTCATCGAAGGGTCAGTTCACCCAGAAATGAAACCTTCTAACGAACCTTTAGTCGTATCTCTCCATGCAGAAGCTTTGTCCATGTATGTTCACCTGAAGTCATACCCCAATACCACTGAAAGGAATTTAATTTATAATGTTCACTAAAAGAAATCACTGTTTTTCTTAACTGGGCTATTGTTTCTTTAATGGTAAAGGTTAAACAGTCCACACTTCCATAGCATCTTTTCAGCTTGAGCGAGGTGCTTTACAACATGTCTCTCATTCACCCACTCACCGAAAGTGGCAGAGCTGCTGTGCAGGGTGCTGCCTACCACTGGTGGTAACTTCAGTTCAGTGTCTTGCCCAAAGGCACATGAAGGGGCAATGGATCGACTACCAGTTCTTCTGCCTGAGCCATAGTTGTAGATTTTGGAGGGGAAAGGAACACTGGGGATAGATTACCTTTGTCTCTCTTCTTTCTCAAAGAAGAGAGACAAAACAGTACAGATGAGTAAATCATGCTTCTATCTGTGTTCAGTCAGCTGGGATCAAATTAAAGTTGAACTGCAGGAAAAAAAACATGATTTTTTGTGTGTTTTCCTTTACACAAAGTCAATTTCAATATAAATTGATGCAGTCCCGTTTAATACGTGTCCCTAACAAAATCTGTGGGGTGTCACAATATATGTACACGATAGCTGTGATCTTAAAAAATGTATCTAGAAACAACATACAGCAGAGTTACGGTTACAAACTCTCTCTCTTTACCTCCTTACATTAATTAATTTGCCAACAAAGAGACAAAACATGTTATCTGAAGATATCTACTCAGTAGTCACCATAATGTCGTAATCGTGAATTCTTTTGGTCGTAACATTCATGTAGCAAAAATGTGACATCAGGAGGTTCAGACTGCAATACAGCAGCAACACTTGTAGTGAGTCTCCTCAAAGTTTGTACAGACAGTCCTGATCCTCAGAGGATGAATCTTGACTTTAGTGACCACCCGATTTCTTCATGTAGCAGCACCAGCAATCCAACTGAGCTATTGTCTAGTGAAACAAATCTACTAAAAAGTTGTACTCAGGAATTCCTGGTTACCACAGGATGACTGCTACACTGTTTCAGAGTACAAATAAAAGTAACTATTAGACTAATTGCAATAAGATTTGGTGCAAACATCCTCCGAGAATAACTCTTTTTCTTCTAGTGTCGGCATGAGGTTAACCTTTGTGAATCTGAGTGAAATACGTCAACAATGGTTGGACTGATTGCCATCAAACTGAGTAGACTATGAGAAAATAATGGTAGTGCTTTGATGTCTTTTTATCTGGCGCCATCGTCAAACACAATCTGTTTTATTTTCACTTTTGCTCAGAACAGGCCTTTGAGTGGTGACTGCACATGACAGTGAGCATAACTGGTCTGTGTACAGTAAATCCTGCCTTTTTATACAAACATCTACACACTGTCCTGCTACTTCTGACCATTTGATAAACAATTATGAAATATTTATTTAGCTTTATTCAATGAACCAGTGAGCTGTTCAGTTGTTCATTTATTCAACTGTTATGCCCGAATAGATGACACTCATTTAACAGTTTAACAGTTTAACAGAGTTTAGTGCTAAATATCAAATGCTAGCATGCTGACAACTTCAGTGTTAAACATAGAAAACTTTATTCCTGTTCAACATCATCATGTTTTAAAGGTCATTTTGATCATGCTAACATCCTGACCTCAGCATGTATTAACTCCCCACTGTACCTGCCTACAGTTCTGCCATGCTGCTAGCATAGCTTAGCCTTTGTTTTACAGTCGTTTGCTCTTTTTTTTTTTTGCTGCCACCGTAATAGAGTAGAGGTAAAGAAAATTTCCTGGACAAATAAAAAATCTGCATGATTAAAAACCACTTGAGATAAATGGCAATATGTTTTTTTTTTTCTGTGATTTGGGTGAACTGATCCTTTAACACCTCTCAAACAAAACATATTTTACAACAACTTTATGAGGCAGCTCAACCAGACATGAATACTGATGAGGAAGAAAGACTGAAGGATTTTTACTGTTCATTTTGTGGTGTCAGAGAGGAAAAGAAGAACCTCCTGGACAAGATAAGACACAGCAGACGAGTAAAACCAACATTTGTTCTATTATAAGGATAAGCTCACATATTTATAAAGCATCGGTTACTAACACCCCGTTGAGGATGTTCACCAGACATCCTTCTGAGTTATGACAGCATGACCTTTATTATCGCTGGTGCAAGTCAGAAGAAGTTAGTCACAGCAGTTAGCCTATTGTCTTTTTTCTCCTCCCTGACGAGTTTATTTATTACAAATATTTTTGATGAAGAGGTGATTCAAATCCTTTACTTAAGTAAAAACAGCAAAAACACTGAAAATACTCCATTACAGGTAAAAGTCTAGCAAAATCTGTGTTAAGTATCCAAAGTGAGAGTACTTATTCTGTAATCAACTTTTTCCTGTCTGTGTGAAGTTTTTGGATTATCTTTTACTGTCACATGTTGCATTCTACTGCCGTAGATGTTTAAGGTTGAGCCCATTTGACCTGCTTCATGTACTGTTGACAGTTGAATCTGTTTGTACACATGCACACATGCAAACAAGTTTTTACAAGCATAGAACTCAGTCCTGCTCTTAGCTTTGAGCATTTTCCAGCTATTCCAAGCTGGTTATAAAGATATATTTTTTTAATATGTTAGGAAGTAGGGGACTGTTCTTAACACTTTAAATCATGAAGTGTATCAGAAAAAAAATGACATTCAAAATCACCGCATTTGGAGAAACATGGTTTTCACTGGACAGGAACATTTAACAATCACTTACAGACAAATGAAGTGGAGTAAAAAGTACAATATTTGCCTCAGAGATGTTGGAGAGTGGACGTATAAAGTTATACAAAATAAGAAAAAAATCAAATACCTCACATATATACATAAGTACAGTACTTATGTTACATTCTACCACTGTTGTATAAAGATTCTGTCTTTTCACATCCACAGAAACAAACAGAGTCAGCACAGACTCAGCCAATAGCCATGAGGTTTAATTTCTTATCGATCTTAAGAGATTTGATGAGTCACTTACTCAGATTGTACGTAAAAGACAGGCGTAATCTCTGTGTCTGAAAAGTGAAGTCAATACTGAAGTGTCTCAAATCTGCATTCTGTCAAACAGCCAACAGGAGGCGCTCTGCTGGTTGCAAAAAAATATCTAAAGGAAAATGACCCTACTTCTCATTTGATCTGTTACCTCAAAAAACATTTCACTTATGAGGTTATGGTCTCAGTCGCTATTTTCAAGTCTCCTTCAATTCAGCATTGTGCTCATTTTGTAAATTATGGTCCCATTCCGAGAAAAATAGACAATACAGCATGGTTCTTTTTACAACAGTATGGGAATGCAAAATGTCCTCCAGTTCTGCGTCAGCTCCACCTCTCACTTGTCACGTCGAGTTTCAAAAGATGAAGATGGTGACGGCAAATTCCAGACTTGAGGCTTCAAATAGTAGTCCACTGACCAACGGGTGGCGTCACAGTGGCCACGTCCATCTTTTATATGCGAGTATGTTTATGTCTGGTGTTCAGATATCTTTCTGGCAAAACACTTCTCATTTAAACTTTACGTGTATTAACTTTCCAGAGATTAAAGATGCCATTTAAACATCGATGTTGTGAGATTCTTTGCATCGAGCTTCTTCCACCAAGTCTTTACATTGTTAAAGGAACTGTTCATTTTTTAAAGAATGTCTATACAGCTTCTTAGTCGTCCAGGTCATGGTGATACTGATGTTTGGGAAGCAGGTTCCCTTGCCTCTAGCCAAGAGTTAGATGAGAACATCGATGCTGCTCTGAGCTTGTGTGGTGAACATGAACGGCAGCTGATTACCCTAGCTTAGTATTAGGAGTGGAAACAGAGGAACGTGTAGCCCAGATCTGTGTAAAGGCAGCAGTTCTACATGTAATTACCCCGATTAAACCACAAATTATCCTTTGTACACTTCAGTTTGTGTACACATTAAAAACAAATCAACTCTGTACATCTTTTTCTTGAGGCAGGTGTGTGTTTGTCAGGATCCCCACCTCAGCCCCTGCCTGGCTCTCTCTCCCTCTCATTCAGCCTGGCTCTCCCTCTCCTGTCACTCTGGTCCTATGTGCCTGATTACAGGTATTGGAGACAGCTGCGGCACAGATCGGCACACCTGCTCATCCATCCATCCATTATCTATACACCGCTAAATCCTCACTGGAGTCGATCCCAGCTGACTCAGGGTGAAGGCAGGAAACACCCTGGACAGGTCACCAGTCTATCACAGGGCTACACTTAGAGACAGACAACCATTCATACTCACATTCACACCTACGGACAATTTAGAATCACCAATTAACCTCAACATGTTTTTGGACCTTTTGGGAGGAAGCTGGAGAACCCGGAGAGAACCCACGCTGCACAGGGAGAACATGCAAACTCCACGCAGAAAGATCCCGGGAGTCCTCACAAACCGGAGACCTTCTTGCTGCGATGCAATAGTGCTAACCACCAAGCCACCTGGCAGCCACCACACCTGCTCAATTCAATTCAACTTAATTCAGTTTGTACAGCGCAGTTTACAACATATGCCATCTCACGGCGCTTAACATAGCAAAGTACAGCCTTCTCCTGCCAGTGGTCCTCAACCTGTTTCCAGCCTGCATTCCCTGAACCAGCCTTCCCCTCTGGTTTGGTCCACGGCCCTGTGAGTATCCCTGTTTTGTTGATCTAGCTTTAGTTTATTCACATTACTTTCCTTAGGTTCCCCCCTTGGTGTTAATTTCGAGTTCTTGTTTTTTCTAATTTTGTCCATTTTCTGATTAAAGACTGGTTTCCCAATTCTGTTTCCCTCCCCTCAGTTTAGTTTCCATACTTCATATTGGTTTCTGTTTTATCCTATAATTAACAAATTGCCTTGAACACCTCACCTGCCTGTCTACCTGTGTCTGCACATGGAATCCCAGACCCACCATGACAGTATTAAAGGGCCATGCTGTGCAAAAGTTTCTGTCTCTTGCACACTATTTAACTTGTGTGATTACATTTACTCACAATGTTTTAGCAGTAGACCTTCATTAGTGAGCTTTACGAGTGTTAATAGGTGGATTTTACTATCTCTAGACAGAGCCAGGTTCCCTGTTTCTCTGATTCTAAGCTAACTAGCTGCTAGCTTCACATGTAGCACACAAGCGTGAGAATGGCATCTATCTTCTTTAATACTCTGCAAGAAAGCAAAGAAATCGACATTTCCTAAAACGTCACACAGAGGTTTCTTTGCAGATGGGAGTTTATTGCAGAAGTTCACGACAACCAAGCAAACTTCAGAGGAAGACCTTTGAGGGCGGCTAAAACGCCAGAAAGCTGTAAGTAACACTTCACACTAACATTCTGACACCACATTCACAGAGGAAAGACACTGTTTTTCCAAATTTTTTTTATTATATTAGAATTCCTTTAGTTTACATTGGAAAAAATGAGGTACTGTGTCTAAGTGACAGAAACATAAGCCTTATGATTATGATGACATAATCAGATTGGAAAACAAAACACATTTACCAAAGTCAGAGACAGGAGAGTCGCGGTGGGGAACACATCACCCTCGTATTATCCTATCTGTTGTTTGGACTGGAATCACTCAGATGACAAGTATTTTTATACGCAGATCTGATAGGTTGGTTTTTGAGAAGCTTTCGCTGACAGCAGACCTCAAACAACGTGAGGAAACAGCTGCTGAGATCCCTACGAGCAGATGTAGAATATCCTCTCGGTGACAGACAGATAGATGAAAACAACATTGTAGAAATGCAAACTAACTACATGACCTACCAGAAGATTCCACAACATTGATTTCACCTACCAAGTGAGACGTCACAAAGGATTCAAACATCATCTAGGAGCATCTGCGCTGACTTTTAATGTTCCCGTATCGCTAAAAGCTAAATGCACCAATCAGCCTGTGCCTCGCGACTTTAACCAGTAATTCAGTCATGAAATGTGTCGTGTCAAAACACTGACACAATTAAATAGTCCACGGATTGCAGCTAAACGTGTTTAGACTGACACAGAAAATGAGAAAACAGACACTCAGCGAATAAGCTTTAAGCTTTGCATCCACGTTTTTCATTCTTACATGCTTTTAGGAGCAACTGAAGCTGTAACGAGCTACACATTTACACCAACGACTAGTTCATCCTACAGGGAAATAAATAGTGTCACTTCAATAGCCAAAAAATGTATCCATGACGGCACACCTCCAGTTTCAAAATCATGACTCCTCTCGGGGGTGTTTGAGCTGAGGCTCTATTTCTGTCAGAAATGCTTGTTGGAGGTGTGAACAGGGGGGAGTGTGAGGGAGAGTCCAGAGAGGAGGAGCTACATGAAGGTGGTGGGAGTGATGGAGGGGTGGGGGCAGAAGAGTGAGTGCTGATTTGGGCTTTTTTCTTCGTTGGGGGCTCTCCTGTTTATGCCTCAAGCTCGAAGCCCATGCCCACTTTGTGTCCGCCAGCATTGAAGTTCTTCCCGTCGATGAGGGCTGAGAGGGTGACTTTAACACCTGCAGAGACACAAAGCATGTAGTGATGGTTATACTATTTACTATTTGTAATTCCAAGCAGTTTATGGGCGTTGTTTGTCCTGTCACATTTTTCCTCACTGTGGCTCATTTTTCACTGGAATATATAATCCTGCACCTCTATGGAAACAGAACAACCATGAATAGAAGGAGGAAGAAGTCAGAATTGTGTTTCACATATATATGAAGAGTTTGTTTGCAAAAACAGATAACTCCAGCTTCACAAACCTTCTGAAAAAACACTTTTCCATCGTCTAACTGAGACAACATCAATCAAACTTACGTTATATCAATTAGAATTATAAGATTGATTTCACCTAGACCAAATTAAAATCATTCATATATACATATAGTATTTGTACCAGCCTTGTGTGACTGTTAAACATGACAAAAGCTGTATCACACCTCTTCATATGTATTTGAATGAAAATGCTGGTGTGACTCTTTGATGGTTACAGCATTAAAGAATGTGAGGTTCACACCATGGTGAAGTGTGGAGATTATAACACCGTGCAATTAGCCACATCTCACACCATATAGTCATCACAGTCCAAATTCAAATTTGCCCAGGCAGGATTACAATCTCATTATGATATAAGAAGGATTTTAATTTGGTCTAGGTGAAATCAAAATTTAGTTCTGCCTAGCAGATTTAAAATCTGACTAGACCAAATCAATATTTGAATCTCGCCTAGGTGATATATATATAAAACTCAGGTGATTGGTTATCAAAATAGCTGGCGATTAACTTAATAGTTGACAACTAATTAATGCATTGTTGTATACATGTATTTGTCATCTTGGACTTGATAACTGATCATCAATTTTCACTACATTTTACTGACCAAACAACTTAAGGATTCAGAAAAATGATCCAACAGGTTCATCAACAAGAAGAATAACAGTTAGTGAACTACTTTTAAGATGGATGCGGTAATAAGAATCTAATTAGCTCACCAGTGAGCATGAGCTCCACTATGTGGACAGAAAGTGGAGCAGTTTGCAGAGCGAACTTTATATTTTATACCTGCTGATTAAACAATCACCAACGACAATGACAGAAAAAGCCGATTCTATGGCCACTTCTGGATAAAACAGGTTCTACATGTAGAATTATGTTAACAAAAGGGGGAAAAAATGTTGATGTGCTACGTTTAGACATTCTCTCAGCAGCTTTGTAAACATTCGGCCCAACCGGTAAGACAAGATATCTGCAGTTTTTAATTACCCAGATGTGGTTATGTGATTATAAACGAAATATTTGCGTGGGTGACAACAGTGCCACTTTGGATGAGAGCCTACCTGGCCGAAGGCTCTGGGTGTAGCCGACTCCAATCAGACTGGCATTGTTCACTTTGGCCTGTGGGGTGAAACAAGATAAGACGTGAAACACAACGACACAACAGTTTGTGAGAAGCTGCTTCGACAGCAGTGCTGCAAATGAGAACTCACAGACAGAGAGGCGTCTTTGTCCAGCTTGTATTTGGCGGCGATGCCGAAGCGAGTGTTGTTGCTGCCGGCGGTCCACGCCAGAGTGACCGCCGTCTCCAGCTCATCGTTCACCTTCTGGTAGATGGAGCCACCGAACTCTGTGCCGTCATTACTGAGACAGAAAAAACACTGGTTAACTTACACGCACAGAGTAGACATGCTTTCATCCTACAGACTCATCTCCTCTGGGGCCTCATTTATCATCAGTGAGTCTAAAAGGTTCTAAATTCTGTCGTACGAATGAAATTTAGAATGTGGGCAAGTCCAAAGAAATCTGTATTTATCAAATGTGCGTGCAGGGGTCGTACACACGTCAGTAAGTCATCAGTGTTGATAAATTCCACTTGTTCGTAACCTCCGTGCTCGTGCGCGTTGCCCTCATAAACGCCTCCAAATCACCTTATAGGGCAACAACACGCCTCTTTATAAAGCAAGTGAACATTTATTTTTTCCTCACCTGTCGTCATCATCGTGACAAAAAGGGTGAAAAAGAGGAACTTTTCTGAAACTGAAATCAAGGTATTTGTCAGCGAGGTTGAAGCAAACCAGAAACTAATGTTTGGTGTGTGAAATG